GCGCCTCAAGCCGAGCCGCAAAAAGGCCTAAGGCGCGCGTCTCGGTCACTGGCCGAGGCACGCGTCTCGGCCAGCGCTCACGGCTGAGGTGACGCCTCGGCCAAACCCGGCTAAGGCGACGCCTCAGCCGGAAAAAAAAAAAAAAAAAACCGCCAGGCGCACGCCTCGGCCGAGGGCCTGAGGCACATGCCTCGGCCATGGGTCGAGACGCACGCCTCGGCCCAGCGCGGGCTGAGGCGACGCCTCGGCCCAAGGCACGACTGAGGCAGCGCCTCAAGCCGTGCCGCAAAAAGGCCTAAGGCGCGCGCCTCGGTCACTGGCCAAGGCACGCGTTTCGGCTAGCGCTCACGGCTGAGGTGACGCCTCGGCCAAACCCGGCTAAGGCGACGCCTCAGCCGTAAAAAAAAGAAAAAAAAAAAAAAAAAAAAATACCGCCAGGTACACGCCTCGGCCCAACGCGGGTTGAGGCGACGCCTCGGCCCAAGGCACGACTGAGGTGGCGCCTCGGTCACTGGCCGAGGCACGCGTCTCGGCCAGTGCTCACGGCTGAGGCGACGCCTCGGCCATACCCGGCTAAGGCGACGCCTCTGCCGAAAAAAAAAAAAAAAATGCCAGGCGCACGCCTCGGGCAGGCCGAGGCCCGCGTCTCTGCCACTGGCCGAGGCGGCGCTTCAGCCTGTCCATAAAAAAAAAAAAAAAAAAAAAAAAAAAAAAGGGCCGGAGCTCCCTCGGCCACGATCGGCCAAGGCGCACGCCTCGGCTACGATCAGGGCGCACGCCTCGGCCACGGTTGGTCGAGGCGACGCCTCAACCACGATCGACCAAGGCGACGCCTCGACCACGATCGACCATGGTGACGCCTCGGCCACGAACGATCGGCCGGGGTGCACGCCTCGGCCGTGATCGGCAGAGGCACGCACCTCGGCCAGCATAAAAAAAAAATTCATGTGTGATTTGGAAAATAAAATCACATACTCGGGATCAACCGGGATTCTGCACGATATCAAGCAAATTCAGTCTTACTCCCTAGTCAACTCAAACACATCCGTAGACTCAGGAGTAGGGGGACTGGTGACAGGATACTGGTGCTGGCACCCGACCCGGATCATAAGCAGCATTTGACCCGACACCACATGGAGTGGTGCTGGCACCCGACCCGGTTCATAAGCAGCATCTGACCCGACACCACATGGAAACCCACCGGGCAAAACTCCAACGGGCAGAATTCCAACGGCTGTCACCTTTACTGCCATTGAAGCCACCATTGATGTCACCATTGATGAGAGAGAATTAAAGGCTTAGCTCCCCATTTATGCTTCATGTTGTTACCGTTAGCAGCTTTTGTATAAGTAGGGGCTCCCCTCAGCTTGGAGTGCGACGTTCAATACTCTGGACAAAGACACTGTACTTTCTATACTGAAACTAAGGCAATACAACTATTGTTACTTTCTTTTACATTGCGTTACTCTAATATTATTACTACCGGTAACATTATTACCGTCAATATATATATATATATTTATATATATATATATATATATATATATATATATATATATATATATATATATATATATATATATATATACACACACACACACACACACAAACATATATAATTTAACATTCATATAAATATTTAATTAGAATATAATTTATAATTAAATTAATTGTTATATGATAATTTTAATAAAATGATAATTAAAAATAGGAAAAAGATATGATAGATGTAGGTGTATGGTAAGATTGGTAGATATATTAAAAACTAACGGTGTTATAACGATGTAAGGGTGATTTTGTCCAATGCAAATGAATGTACAACAATTAAAGCAAAATGTATATATTTATTAGCATATAAAAAAGGGACAATAATCAAGGACATAACTTGTATTGACACTTATTATGTTTTTAGATATATATATATATATATATATATATATATATATATATATATATATATATATATATATATATATATATATATATATATATATATATATATAGATTTCGAATCCGGTGCACCCCCCTTGCTAGGTGAGACCGTGAGACCCACTTTAGAATCGTTGATTTATTTTATGGATGGTCTAGATTAGACTTAAACACGCGTGTCTGTGCTCGAGTATTTAGGGATATTCTTGTCATTTGACGAGGTGTTTAATTATGAGATGCGCCGGGCTTTGTGCGTTGGTATATGGTCACTCTTGGTAAACACACTGGCTGTCATTATCGCATAGCAGAGTAGACATCAAGTGAGAGTCCTTTCGCCTCCTGTCAGTCTCCCTTCTCAGAGTTCGCCGTCCGTTGTCTTCGCCATGGCTGGTCTGCGCTTCCGTCAGTCCAAGCGTCTCCGGAGCAACTCGTCAGTGCATGCGCCAGGTATTCCATCATCTCTTAGTTGCATTGGTCGTTATTATGTGGGTTTTCTGTTATCAGGGTTGACCCGAATCGAGGGGGCGGTGTTCGTATGGATGGGTTTGGTGTCATATTGCGATGTGGGTGAGGTAGGGGGCGTTGTGGGGGACCGGGGGTTAGTGTATCTCTGGTGTCAGATGATGTGCCGCGACGGAGTAGTCTTCCACGGTGGTCTCCGGCCAGTCGACGCTGTCGGACTTCCAATCCGATGTAGGGTTTCGTATTTCTAGGGCTTCTGTTCATTTTTTTTTCGAAGCATTGGGGTTTTGTTTTTGGGTAACCAACAGTCAAAATTTTTAGGTAGGCGGTGCAATTTAGTGGTCGTCCGGGGGGTGGTGCATGGGGTGAGTGTGACGGTGCAATTATTTTCGAAGCATTTATTTTTGTTTTTGTCTAAGCTGTAATGGCTGTTGAGCATACGGGGGGTTTGTGCAGTGCTATGAGAGGCATGTGTGTTGTATGCAGTTGTGTTGGTTGCAAGGTTAGGTTTTGGGCAGGTCTGTGCAAGTATGCATACGTGGTGTTGTGCAGTGCTATGAGTGGCATGTGCGTTGGTGGTATAATATGGGGTGTGTTCGTTAGGTGTGTATATTAATTAGTTTTTGTTAGGGGTTTTTTTTTGGGGGGGGGGGGGGGGTGGTGATATGTGCACAGACCTATGGATTTTTTTGATTTTGTCAAGTGTGTCTTTTAAATAGGTTTTTTTTGTGGGGGTGTACATACCGGTTAGCATTGTGCATGTGGGAATTTGGTTTGTTGATTGTATGCAGTTGTGTGGGTTGTAAGGTAAGGGTTGGGTTAGGTCTGTGCAAATATGCAGTTGGTATGTGCATTGAAGCTGTGTGTTGTAAGTTTCGTTGTGTATTTTATTTACAGAGATGTTACATTGTGAGCGGTAGGGGTATGTTTATGCACAGATGTATAAATTGCTTTATTTGTATAGAGGTGGAAGTGTGCTCAGATGCTAAATGTGTTAAATTGTTGCTATCTTTGTTGTGTCGTTTTGTTTGTTTCCATTTTTGTTAAGTTGTCATTATTCGCAGTAGAAGTGGTTGGGCAGCCAGCAGATGCAGGTGATGCCCCCGCAGATGTGCCCGAACTGGAAGTAGAAGGTCCTGCCAATCCGGCTCTGGATACTGAGTTAGAGGACGCGCAACCGGCTAGAGATGGAGAAGATGCGCAGCCCGACAATCAAGTAGATGATGCCCAGCCGGACGAGGGGGTAGAGGGGGGGGGGGGGGCAGCCTGCAGAGGATGCAGACGATGAGGCCGAAGACGATGTGCAGCATGATAAGGACGAAGACGATGTGCAGCACAACGAGCGCGAAGATGGTACGCAGCCCGACGCAGTTGATCATGCAATTTTCCCCCCTCTTAAGATCCGTGTGTCTCCGCAGCATCTGGTGAAACCCATCAAGCATTTTTCTGGCTGCCAGCGTAGAGCTGTTGGTGAGATCGGGTTGGGGGAGATTCTACACCTCCAAGTGAAGGACATCCCGAAGCCGTTGGCCAGGTGGCTGCTTACTAACTTCGACCCGGTGGACATGGTATTGCGGGTTGAGAACGGCGCGACCATTTCAGTTACCGAGGCTGATGTGCAATATGTGCTGGGGTTGCCGCGTGGCGAGGTTGTCATCATCAAAAGGCAGAAGGACGACATAAGTAATAGCTTGAAGCTGTGGCGTTCCAAATTCGAGAAGACCAACCACACCATCACACTGGCCATGATTGCAAAGAAGATAAAAGGCAATGTGGAGGGGGGAGTTTGGTTTAAGCGGCACTTTGCGATGTTGGCGATCAGTACCCTGGCCACGCCAATGATGAACGGATACGCGAATAAACTGGTGTACCACCACTTCAAAGACGTTGAGGAGATAAAAAACTTGAACTAGTGCAGATTCGTCATTGAATGTCTGGTAGAAAAGCATCGTACATGGAATGGGAAACCTAACCAACCATTCTCCGGGCCCTATATATTTCTACTGGTATGGTTATGTTGTTAGTGCATATGTGATTTATTTTTTGTTGTTGGTTAGCGTGTTTTTGGTGGTAGTCACTAACAGATCCCACACACCCAGCTACTTTATGTTGATAGGTTGGCACACGCGGAGAGGACTATGCCCCGGGCGATGCCAGCTTTGAGGGGGTGGTCTACAAAGTTGTTGAAGGAGAGAGAGCTTGCTGAGTTTAGGGCTGGTGGATTTAGACTCGGCGAGGTTGTTGGCCCGTATATCCCGGAGGTATTGGCAAAAATATGTACCTTGGTGGTCACATTCCACTATTATGTTGTTTTGCGATATTCTCTAATTTTGTTGTTTTCGTATAAAATGCACCTTAGGGGTTGGATGCATAGGGGGAGATTAATCCACCCATGGTCGATGCTCCTGCAAAGGTAAATTGTTAGGTGTTTCCAAAAATGGGGGGTCATAGTAAGTGCATATAGATTTTTATAGGATTTTGCATGTGGTGGGGGGGTAGGGGGTTGGTGTATACTATGTGGATGGTTACTGCATCTGTGCGTCGTATATATGTGGGAGGGGTATTGGTAGATGTGGTCTGTGTTTACAGGGGCAGTAGTATGTGCATACGGGGCCATAACAGTACGCAGTAGTAAGTGACATATATGCGCTACTGAAATGAGTTTCATCTCTGCAGACCGATGCTGAAATATATGTTGAGAAGACCAACATGTTAACTGATGCTTTAGAGGACATGGTTCATTTCATGGAACAGCACAACGACCTCCCCCGGCCCACGGAAGGCTTTGCTAGGCTTCTGGCTGGTGCCCGGGCCTTCATGCGATTGACGGACGAGGGTGGATCCTCCGGTGTGATAATTCCTGTTGAAGTGCGAGGCACCGGACTGCTGAGCGATGATGAGATGTGGACGAACCCGGCGAATTTAGATGCGGTTGATGCGGTTGTTATCGCTGCTTAACAGAATAAAGGTGCTGAAGAAGTACGGCCGCCCGAGGTTGACGGGGAGGCACAGCATAACTCCACCGAGCCTGCAGCGGAGGGTCAGTCTGCGGCGGTTGGTCAGTGCGCAGCAGCGGATGTTAGTGAACCGCAGGACGGGGGGGCTGCAGCTGGTAGTAAGAATGCTGTAAGTAAGGTGGTACGCCGGCGCAGAAAAGCTAGGCGTTATTAGGTTTTAAATATTCTGGCATGTCTATAACGTGTATATGTGGTTTGTACTTTTTTTTACCCCCATCCCTATAACTGATATTATTTTTTGTTGTGTATGGTGGTATGCACAGGGGGGGGGGGTTTTTAGTAATATTTTCATGGTGCGAGGACAGGAACTTTTTTTGTGCATTAATGGTGTACGCCCAGTTAGGGCGTTATGATGTTATACTATGTTCGTACGATTATTTTTTTTTTTGAATGTGTGGTTTTATATGTGGTTGCATGCTGTGTTTTGTTGAATAGGATGAAGCAGGTATTCCATCTTTCAGTCTTGGGTTGACACAGGGAGTATCTTCGGTGGGATTTGGGCTGTCGCAGGATCTACCCACCCAATGTTGGGAGGTGGTGGATGCAATTGTCCGAGAGTATGCCGCGCGTTCTCCGAATATCATGCTGCGCGGGTGTTCATCTGCCCCATTTCTTTAAAATAATATAAGTATATAACGGTTGCCGCACACGCGATCGCGCTCACTCGAGGAGTGATACAAATGACACAAGCTAGCGCAACTCCAAGTGTCTATATAAGCACAACTGCTGGACCCGCGCGTTCATAATCGTGCCACTCGCGCGCAAAATAGCGGGCACACTTCGCTTTGTTGGTGCTGGTGTGTGCGAGGGAGGGGGGGCATGTGCATGGAGGCACACACGCTGGTAACGGGGCCAATGCATGTGCAAAATAAGATAACGGGCAGGCCTGTGCGTTGCCGCTCTGGTAGATGCGTGCATGCCAGCGTGTGCATATCAAGCATGATGCATGTATATATGCGCGGGTAGCCAACGGCGTGTGCACCGACTAGTGAAAGAGGGGGGTCTGTGCGTCCATTGGAGACTCGGCCAATGAGTCGAGTCAGAATGTGGGGTGGTGGTGGACAGGTGTATCGTGCGTCTATGCACGCACGCATAGTGCCCAGTGCGTGATAGGGTAAATGTGAGTGCGCAGGGGGGACACAGTGGCCATGTGCATGATCAGAGTGTTTTCTCCTTTCCCCATCACCCGTATTTATTTCGTTTTACTTTGTATTGTAGGTAGGCGCAAAACCGACTAAGCTATCTACTCCCCGCGCCCCTGCCACAGTTGGCCATGATGGCACTCACCGGGGAGTATCAAAACGGGGCCGGCATGAGGTTGCCATTGATAATGCAGAAAACCATTATACCCCGCTATTGGTATGTTCAGTATGTTCAGTTTGGTATGATTAGCTTAATAATATTAATACTTAATCTGTTGTATATTTTCTTTGCCTCGCAGCGACGTTTACCGAACACCAAGCTGTCTGCCGCGATTTCCAGTCCTCCACAATGTCATGCTCCAACGAAACAGCCCCGGCAGAATTTTCCTAACGTACACGCACTTAGGACACTAGATCTGAACTCATATAACCATCGGACACGCGCACGGGCTGCGCTGTCCATCCCCAACTCCAGGCCTGATGCGCAAGCAGTGTATGACTGGCTAGCTATATCCGCCGACCGTGACATGAAAGTAACAATAGCGTTGTTGTGTATATTGTTCTAACGTAACTGGGGTGGGGGTCACACACATTTGTATTCTTGATCCGCGCAGAGATGAGGAGTTGTTTTATTTTCGGGGACGGTCTGCACGCCGGGCTGAATTTGTATCACTGTTGGAGGGCAACGATGTGCTGGTTGGCGTAATAAACGTTTGGTCGTGCGTGTTGAATGCCAGGGAGAGATTCAAGGCCGCGCACGCACCGTCCAGATTATTTGTGTCTGCAACCGCAATGGTAAAGATACCAGTACCTATTTTCACCCAAAGGCAGCGGGTTGGATAACGGTATAATAAAGTGACGTGTTTTATATTTGTATTAGTTGTACACCGCGGTTGATGTGTCGGCTTCATGGGATCGGCGACTGGAATGGTTCACGGAGAGCATGGTGGACGAGTTGAAGGGCTCTCTTTACAGCGCGTGGGACGACATTGACATTGTAAGTGATGCTCCCCATGCACATATTGAGCGCTGATCCGGTAGTTGCGCCCCTTTTACCCCCTTAGTGCGTCCGGTGCAATAATTATTCAAATGATATGCAGATTCTTTTTCTGATACTCCACGCTTGGCACTATTACGCCATTTCAGTGGACTTCCGGCGCATGCGGCTGGACGTCATTGATAATTCATCGGCAGGGGATCTCTCACTAGCGAAATATGGATACACCCCTGGCGCTGTGGTATGTGGGGGGCGTATTTACATATGAGTGTGTTGTTAGTTAAAATGTCTCTGTTTTGGCTGACGGGGTATCATTTTTATAGCATGAGCTGCTGTCCGTCTTCTTCGAGGATGCTGGAGTAGGCGCGCTGTTTATGAAGGTCACCCAGCTGATCCCGCGGAGGATCCGACTACCATGGCGCGATTCTACCAACAAAATAGACTGTAGCGTGTTTGCGATGCGACATATGGAGAGTCACGTGGGACAGCTGTATGCGTCATGGGATTGCGGTCTCCGTAGGGGAGACGCACGCGCATTAAGCGCTCTACGCGTTCGATTCATGGCGGATATTCTGATGTTCCATAGCAACGCCCATCGGAAATCGATTATCGCACGTGTCTCCAGCCCGGTTGGTGATGCTCCTTGATTTATTTCCGTTAATGAATGACTTTTTTCGCAAGAATTTTATAACGTTAAAATAGCGGACTTTTTTTGTGTTATGCCATGTTTGTGATTCTAGGTATTTTATAACTTATCGGTTATCTTTTTGTTGACGAACACTAAGGTGCTATGACTGGTCGGTTATACTATTTTGTTCCATAATGCATGATCCACGCACAGGCAGGCATGTATTACGCACAAACGATGTATGTACACGCACATGTATATCCTAAGGATTTTCAAGCACAAGCTACCCTGCCCGCGCATTTACGTAGTCCGTCAATGCACAGCATGGCCAGTGCCTATCATGCACACGAACTCTTACACCCATTTCTGTACATATGTGCACATGCCACATACACCCAACGCACCTACCAGCATCGCACAGACCAGTCGTTGCCTAATACGCACACGCAGTGTCCCACCCTTAGTGCACATATGCGCACATGCAACATACACCCCACGCACATATCAACATCGCACAGACCAGCGTATCCTAACATGCACACACACTGATGCGGCATTAGGTACATATATGCACATGCTACATACACCTCACGCACATGGATACAGCGCACAGACCAAGCGTTTGCCTAAAACGCACACGCATCGCCCACCCTTATGAGGCGTGTGCGCATATGTGCACATACCACATACACCCCACGCACATATCAACATCGCTCAGACCAGCGTAGCCTATCATGCACACGCACTGATGCGGCATTATGTACATATGTGCACATGCCACATATACCTCACGCACATGGATACAGCGCACAGACCAAGCGTTTGCCTAACACGCAAACGCAGCGCCCACCCCTGTGCACATATGCGCACACGCCTCATGTGCCCCGAGCACACACCATCATCTCACAGACCAGCGTGGCCTATCATGCAGTTGCACTGATGCGCCATTGTTTACATACGTGCACATGCCACATACATCCCACGCACATGCCGGCAAGCGAGCGGTTAGTATATAAAATGCAACGAACCAGCATCATTAGTTTATATGTAAAATAATGAACGAACAATTACATATGGATAGGTCAGGCACCATAAAATGAAATCTGATGCAACCACAACCATGCAGTTTCCGGTCATGCACAGTCGCATACGGACTACGCACAGGCAGTGACCAAAACATATTAATAATCAGATTTCATTTTATGGCATAATTATCTTGTATAGCGGGGTGGGGGCGGTAAATGCATCATATGGTAATATCAAGTTCATTCCAAACAACTGACATTTTCACTAAATTAAGTCCAGATCAAAGGAGTTCATAAATTAATTCGCAAAAGTTTGGACATCAAATACGGGTGTGTAACGCCCCGTTAAGATATTATAAATGGTATCACGGTAGTCATTTCTGTGGGCAGCTTCGGCTATTGTGTCCAGTCGCAAAACCACATGTTTTGCATGTGCGTTTTTTTTTTGCTCAGCTCCTTCATGGCAATCTCTCTAGCAGACCTTAGTCGTTTGCCTGACCCCTTGTTGCTAACCACAGGGGGCGGGTGCACGGACACTGATTCAGGGGCTAGTGCGCCACAGTAGGACTCCATTATCGCCCGTTTTCCCCTCGCAACAGCAGCCTGTTCGTTGCTATTTTCGCACAACTGAGTTTCTAGTGACGCGAGAACCTCACCGAGGTGATGCAATTTCTGGTGGTCACCTTGTGCCAGCCCTAAGCATTTATAAAACGTGTTTACCACGTTACTCTCTGCTGAATCCCCACGTGACGACGATGCCAAGCGTTCCGACACTGGCTGCCCACCATCGGTTGGTGCATGTTGTACGGCAGTGCGTGTCCACCGCGGGGTGACATGCTGAGGAGGTATGTTCTCTATACGCTCATACATCAAGACGGCAAACACATGCCTGCACAATAGGCCTATCCTTGTGTATAGTCGACATTGGCAGTGGGTCGTATGGGTGGCATTCTCAAAAGTCAACGTGTACCGCGTCGCGTGTTCATCCTCTACCACATAGGTGGTGACGGCGCCACCGTCGGCACATGACCGCATTCGATAATCAAAACACCCTGCCACGATCTCATGTTGGACATTGTAGAACACAGTTAAAGTGTAAAGTGATGCTGCCCTTCGTTCGATCGGCAGTGGTGTCTTAAACGGGGGGGGGGGGGGGGGGGGGGGGGGGGGTCTGTGCATCGCTTGCGCCTGTAAGCTCCTTTTGGGTTATCCGCTGCTTTCTGACCGTACTCTCAAACCTGATGAAAAATTCAGTGAGACATATGTGCTTGTTAGTGTTGCTTCTGAAAATTCTGTTCTCGGCCTCGGAGCGGGATGTAGTACGAAGCAGCCCCCCCATAAAAACACCTTCGAAGCATGCAGGAACCCAGGATGCGCGCTCATCGTACATACGCTTGAACCACGCATTGTCAGTCAGCCCATATTTCTCAATAACACTGCACCATGCCTCCTCGAAATATTCAGCTGTCGCGATGTCATTCCAAACGACGGCATTCAGCTCCTTTCGGAACTCCTCGTTCCGGGCCAAGTCATGGCTTACTTTGTCCCCCACCTTCGTCATTATATGCCACATACAATATCGGTGGCGAGTATCCGGGAATTCCTTCGCGACCGCGACCTTCATTGCAGGGTCTTGATTCGTCATTGCGATAGGTGGCGCACCGCCCATAGCGGTCTTGAAGTGTCTTAATGCCCAACAGTAGGAGTCCACGTCCTCCCGAGAGATGAGGGCTGCTGCGAATGTAACACATTTCTTGTGGTTGTCGACGCCGGTGAACGGGACAAAGACGAGGTTGTACCTGCCAAGAGGGGGACACAAAAAACAGACAGTAATTAGTGGATGAGTTCAGACCGGAAAAGCAAATCAGCCCAGGCGTATGCACACGCCAAATACCAGTCGCGCGAAGCACATGTCACATACTCCCAGATGCACAGACCATACACACAGAACGTTACGCACACACAACACCAAACAAATGCATAAACCAACGACGCAACTACATTGCTGTATGCAATCTATTAAATTGGGATGAGTCACATCGCGAAATTAATATAAACTGTCACGGTATTAACGTATGTCCAATGACGTACCTATTAGTTTTGTAGGTCGCATCAAACGAAACGACGTCCCCAAACGCACTGTATTGTCTACGTGCGTACCCATCCGCCCAGAAAATTCGTGTCAGTTGGTCCGCTTCGTTCGCCTCGTATTCGAAGTACATGTCACTGTAATCGCCCTAAATATCTAGGTATTTGGACAGGACCATCTGACAATCCCCTAAGTGCATGTATGCCAACACATCCCTCCGGTAGTTCTTGAAATCCAACTGTGTAGCTCCCACGTTCTCTACTCCCCCAACTAGCTCCGCGTATATGTCGAAACTCTTACTTGCTCCGACGTTGACCTTGGCGCAGTTAGTTATGAACTGTTGGTGACCAATATCAAGCTTCCTGTTGACCTTCAGGAATGGTTTGTAGCCCTCAACGCACAAGCAGTGTGCGTGCCTCTCTTCGAAGGTCCTCACCGCATAATTGCCGGCAGCATTCCTCTTGAACACAATCCTAGCCATGCATCCTACTCGGTTCGACGGACGTCGGCGGGTGGGTTTGGACACTGGTCCCGGGCTAGTGCTCACTGATGGTCTCAGCTGTTTGTAACCTTCATGGTTACAGACAAGTTTTTTCTTCGTTATCGCACCACGGGCGTTCCTTTTGTCTGAACTTCGTCGCACATCAAAGCCACTCACAGAGGCATAGTTGTTTTAGAAGGAAACCCCTTCTTCCAAAGACGCAAACAACTGCCCTACTACCGGTTTCAGGGTTTGGTCGCATTCCGGTAACCAAAACTGTGTCCCATTCGGCGACGCCCCCATGACACAATGATCCGCATCAACCGCCTGTTCCATACCTAGAGCACATGCCACACGTGCCACATTTATTAACGCTATACAATATAACTATACATAATACGGATAAAAAAAAAATTCAGACAAAAATGTACAAATCGAAATGTTGCCAGTCTGCACGCACTAGCTCTGAGCTGTATACGCACCAACCATATAAATCCAGCTCTGACTTTGTGTTATGCACCAACCTTAAGATGATAGAGTCCTCTGTACGATCATCCTCCATCCCACCCCCCCAACCCCTCAACTCATTCAGCAGTGAGTGGTCTACGCACCAACCGGATTGTACCTTATTCCCCCACGGTCAGCCATCATTACCCACAATATGCACATACAATAACTCCTACGCGCACTAAACAGCACACAACTTATACTGCTACCATCTAACGACAACACCCCACCCCAACGATCACCATGCACCCCTACATTGCGCGGGCCACACACCCTTATTTTTAGACCGTGGACAATGAGCGGGGGAGAATACGCACACGCAACACATGAGGAACGCACATACCTGCAAAGGGGTCACCGGAGATCGTTGGTGTTCACTATGCACTTACCGTCCTTAGTTCTTCCACTCAGAGCTTGGTAACGCCAGGGAACGTGCATCAGCCATTGTAAAGCTGATATGCAATTACATTTGGTTGGAGAACCCAATGCGTGGGATGATTCAGCTAGCGATCATAAATGGTGCATTAATTATTAACAATCATCCAATTACCCTTATATCCCTGTGATTGTGGAATAGATTTAATTACCACCTAAATTAACTACAATCTTAGCCATCCATTATAATAAGATCAATGGACATTACAAGGGGCTCATGGCCTCATCTAATATAGGGGGTGCACAAGATTCGCAGCCTATATATATATATATATATATATATATATATATATATTTATATATATATATATATATACATATATATATGTATACATATATATATATATATATATATATATATATATATATATATATATATATATATATATATATATATATATATATATATATATATATATATATATATGTATATATATATATATATATATATATATATATATACATATATATATATATATATATATATACATATGTATATGTATATGTATATATGTATATACATATATGTATATGGTATATATATATACATACATATATGTATCATATATATATATATATATGTATGTATATATATATATGTATATGTATACATATATATATATATATATATATATATATATATATATATATATATATATATATATATATATAAATATATATATATTTATATATATATATATATATATATATATATATATATATATATATATATATATGTATATATATATACATATATATATATATATATATATATATATATATATATACATATATATATATATATATATATATATATATATATATATATATATATATATATAGGGAAAATGGCACTTTTTCCCCCTAAGTTATATACATATAGCACTTTTCCCCCCTGAATTATTCAAGTGGCTGTTTTTCCCCCTGAAATGTTAAATGGACATATTTACCCTTAAAATAAATATTTCATTTATTTTTTTTCTCTAACAAATTATGACCACAAGTTGGTTCAAACCAAACAGACACTATATAAATCAAACTGAAATATTCTAATTACAATTTAGAATCGAAACCCGATATTTAGATTTTATTAAAATCGTGAACCGGGACGACCGGTTCATGGTCCAAACTGAAAAAAATAAAATACATTTATTGTTGAATTTAGACTATTTTAAAATAAAAAATTAAAATTTTAAAAATAAAGACGGTTCAAAATCGCTAACCGGATCTAGAACCGCCGGTTCACGGTTCAGGATCCAGTTTTTTTGATTCATAATTTTAATGAATTGAAATTAAAATATTGGGTTCTGAATCTGAATCATAACCGGAAACTTTTAATTCGATTGCTATAGTGTCTGGTTCAATTCGAATCGAACCGTGGTCGTCCCTATGTATACGCAATAATTTATTGAAAATGAAAAATAAATAAAATGTTTACTTTAAGGGTAGAAATGTCAATAAAATATATTAGGGGAAAAAACCGCCACTTTTAAAATAATTGAGGGGGCTAATGTGCTTACATGAATAATTCAAGGGGAAAAAGTGTCATTTTCCCATATATATATATATATATATATATATATATATATATATATATATATATATATATATATATATATATATATATATATATATATATATATATATATATATATATATATATATATATATATATATATATATATATATATATATATATATATATACATATATATATATATATATATATATATATATATATATATATATATACATATATATATATATATATATATACATATATATATATATATATACATATACATATATACATATATATATATATACATATATATATATATATATATACATATATATATATATATATATATATATATATATGTATATATAAGAGCGCTCATATGTGGTTATGTCATTAGGTGTGGCGGTCTGGTCGTATCGGTGTCGTTGAATTAGTTTAATCTAACGACAGTGGCTAATTATGAGGATTTTCGCGCGTGGGGGTGTTATGGTAATTACAGTGGCCATTTATAGCGGTCGGGTTCCAGAATACACCAACAGTGTTGACAACATGCACCAATAGTGTAATAAAACACACCACGGTGAAACACACTAATAGTGTATTTCCGAACACTGTATGGTGTATTTATTCATATCTAATGGCGCGTTTTTTGGTGATGCGTATCTAATTTGTGTATATTTTTTGTTGTGCATTTCATAACATGGATTGTGTATATTTGCATAACAATTGGTGCGCCCACACTGACCACACAGGAAGGCGTTGCCGCACGTGAACTTGGCACCAATGGAATCTACAAATACACCAGAGTAAGGCTAATAATGCACCAATTACACAAATAAAACACACAAGAATGTGATTTTCCCTATTCCGATGCCTTATGACGAGTTTACCCTTGCAGTTCGCTGGGTAGGAGAATGTGCGCGAAAATACTAGAAGAATCTTAATTAATGTGATTTATTGGATTTATCTAATCTAATGGCCTGTAATTGACCATATGACCACACCTAACAACATGGCCACATGTGATCACCCCTATATATATATATATATATATATATATATATATAGAGAGAGAGAGAGAGAGAGAGAAGAACGCTCATATGTGGTCATGTCATTAGGTGTGGCGGTCTAGTCGTATCTGTGTCGTTGAATCAGTTTAATCTAATGGTAGTGGCTAATTTTGAGGATTTGATGATTTTCGAGCGTGGGGGTGTTATGGTAATTACAGTGGCCATTTATAGCGATCGGGTTCCAAAATACACCAACAGTGTTGACAACATGCACCAATAGTGTAATAAAACACACCATAGTGAAATACACCAATAGTGTATTCCCGAACACTGTATGGTGTATTTATTCATATCTAATGGCGCGTTTTTGGTGATGCGTACCTAATTTGTGTATGTTTTTTGTTGTGCATTTCTTAACATGGATTACGTATATTTGTATAACAATTGGTGCGGCCGCACTAACCACACGGGAAGGTGTCGCACTTGAACTTGACACCAATGGGAATCTACAAATACACTAGAGTAAGGCTAATAATGCAGCAATTACACAAATAAAACACACAACAATGTGATTTTCCCTATTCCGGTGCCTTATGACGAGTTTACCCTTACAGTTCGTTGGGTAGGAGAATGTGCGCGAAAATACTAGAAGAATCTTGATTAATGTGATTCATTGGATCTATATAATCTAATGGCCTGTAATTGGCCATATGACCACACCTAACAACATGGCCACATGTGATCACCCATATATATATATATATATATATATATATATATATATATATATATATATATATAGTCACCGAAAAGTGGTAAAATTCACTATTCGGTGGATGCATCCCCATCGAATGGTGGATTTAAAAATTCCACCTTCCGGTGGAATTGCATCCACCGAAAAGTGAATTTTCTACCTTTTGGCACGTGGATGCATTTCCACCGGCAAGTCAAATTAATAATTCCACCTTTCAGTGGATGCTCCTGAAATCTTCACCTTTCGGTGGATGCAATTCTACCGAAAGATGAAATTATTGATGTGTGCGTGTGTGTGTGTGTGTGTGTATATATATATATATATATATATATATATATATATATATATATATATATATATATATATATATATATATATATATATATATATATATATATATATATTAGAGCATCCCCATTAAGGGGTTTGTTCACAATTTTTAAGAAAAAACTGACACCATGGAAGAGAGATAGTGAAGAGAGGGAGAAGCCAAGCTCTTCCTGCTAAAATGGAGTTTTTTCATAAATGTGGTGTCCACCTTTGCTTGTCTCTCTCACTCTCTTTCTTGTGTGTTGTAAAAAGAGAATATTTCAAATTTGATCATATGACTATAGGAGCTTTGTTAATTTCAACACCTGACTTTCAAAAGTGTCAATTTAGTACCTTGACTATGTAATTTTTATCAATTTTGGTCACTCCGGTCAAATTGCCTGTCAAATATCGCCGAAAAATTTTAACAGTTAAAATAATGAGGGTATTTTAGTCATTCACATCTCTTCAATCATTTTCCCAGACTAAGCTTCTTCCCGGCGGAAACCACTCCACCGCCACCGCCCAAAATCCCATCTTTGAGCGCAGTTTCCAGGTCCAAAACCTGTGACACACCTTCCCCCTGATTCATACGCGTTTTCTGCCCAAAACTCAGCCCCCAACAACCTTAAATACAGAAAAAAAAAAAAAAAAGAAAAAAAAAACAATCTTGCTCAAAACACAGTACATGAAACGTGGGGATAAAGAAGATAGCTTACACTTTCTTTCTTTCGTTGTTTCGCTTTCTCGCCCATTGACAAATGCTAGTACCAAAATTAAGATTCGACGTCAAGGGGACATATTTTCCTCCTTTATCGAGCTTTACCGAAACACTTTTTCCCTAGTCAAAAGCGCAACAATGTTCATTTTCGCCATCATTATCATGATAATAAAAAGGAAGGGGCTGAAGATGACACGGATTGCCAATCAAAAAGATGCATGAGTCAAATCGGAAGGTGTGCTGCTGCGACGGATTCACCGAAGAAGAAAGAAGAGACGTGAAATGACTAAAATACCCTCATTATTTTAACTGTTAAATTTTTCCGGCGAAATTTGATTGGCAATTTGACCGGAGTGACCAAAATTGATAAAGATTGCATAGTCAAGGTACTAAATTGACACTTTTGAAAATCATGTGCTAAAATTAACAAAGCCTCTATAGTCATATGACCAAAATTGAAATTTTCTCGTTGTAAAAATGTAAGGTCCACTTTGATTTTTTTTTTTAATCAGCTTTATTGTTTTTTTTTTTCTTTCTTTTTTCTCTTACATTACATTTTTTCTTTCCTAACGACACTTACAAAAACTCTTAAAAACAACAACAAAAACCCCACTATTGAGGATGCCCTTAGATTATATAAACATACATTTATTTTATATATGTTGTTGTTGTTGTTGTTATCAATTATGATTATTATTATAATAAGATTAGTTAACAATGGCAAACTTGAAATATTTCAAGGTAATCTTAGATTACTTAAAAAAATGGAGGTAATTAGATTACCTTGAAATATTAAGCCACGTTAGCATTGTGGTAATATAACATTACCCGGCAATTTCAGAACTTGAACCAAACAAGATAATCTAATATTACCATGCTCACATTACCTATGTAATCTAAGATTACCTAAACGCCTCCTAAAAAGTTAGAATTGTAAAGTAATAAGATTGTCACTCTTATTTTATGGTTTGTAAAACTCTTTAATAATTTAATTTCGTTGCGGTTGAAAAGAGCTACCTTAGTAATGATTTAAGAGTAAAAAATGTCTGTAAAAATAATTCAAAGATGAAGAGTAGAGCTGCTAAAATGAGTTTTGTCCATCGGACTAGTGTATCAAGTATCATGCCCTTATATATAATTATATAAAGGGGGTGAATTTTAATTTTGGAGTATGAGTGCAAATGAGTCGAACCGTTCGCGAGCTGCTCAATAAAAACTTGACTCAAATTCAGTTAATTTTAAACTTGAACCGACTCGTTTCCTAAGAGCATCACCACCAACGGTTCATAAGCAATTTTTGGAACAGTATTGTGGAGCTCAACTGATGGTAGGCATTGGTTTTAAGAAAAACAATTTCCTTGCAAAGACCAAGTTTATAGCAGGGAAAAAAAAAAAGAAACGCTTTGAATGCTCGTTAGGCGCAATTCACATCCATAGTGGGCGCGTGGGGGGCGTCAATGGGGGGTGGGGGAGGGGTAAGCTGGCGACCACTATGACTTTCGCACTACTTTTTACTGTATTTTATTTTAAATGTCAGATTTTATTTTATTTTTTCTTTTTCACCCACATTTTTTATTTCTTTTCTAATTAAACTTACAAAAACTATTCAAAACCCACAACTAAAATAAACTACTAATCAAGCAAACTCGAGCTCAAATCCCTGCGAACACTGTATCTCTGCCTATTCTAGTATTCTCTGTCCGTCTGTCGCTCCTCCAAACTCTGCTACGACGGTCGACGATTCCCTGCGAATTCGACGGTCGACGACGAAGTCAAGCCCCAAGGCCCAAAACGCCGCCTCCCGCCCTCCCTGCGAATCTGCGACGAAGACGACAACAGACGACGAAGCAAGCAGAAGCCAAGGCCGACGACGAAGCTAGAAGTCGACGACGCCGCCGCCGCCGCCTCCCGCCCTCCCCTGCGAATCTGCTGTACTGGGTATGTCTTCTCGATTGAATCCAGGTCTAATGTACTTGTTTTCCGTTCTTTGTGTTCTTCGAAGATTTGGAAAAGAGTTTAGTGTCCATGACTGTGAACCCCAATTCACGAGCCGCAAATATGGTGTGAGTACTGAGAAAGTGAGAAGAGAGCTGCTAATTAATTGGCCTAAGATCCATCTGGTGGTGGTGTATGTATGTGATTTCATATGTAGATGCATATGAATGAAACGAAGATCTTCAATCCACATTTTTTTTTTCACACTTTAGATTTTGTTAACTGGTGCAAACAAGTAAGATGATGATTGTTGTTTGTCGCCCCAGTCTTAGTTGCCTCCATTGATTCAACATGGTGATTGGCATGTCGTTTCTGATTCAATTTTGCCTGTTTTCAGTTGCTTTTTGACATTGAATTACTTCTAGTTAGAAACTTATGCACAGATATGCAAGGAGGTGAGATGATTCTTATCCACCTAAATCTGTATGTTTCAGTGATGTTTCAGAACATGCACTACCATCTGATCTCTGTTGCATATTTCATATATTTAGCGTTGTATTCATGAATTTGTTAATGCAATTGATGATGCTATTTACCCAAATCTTCTATATAAAGTTTCAGTTCTTTGAATACTTGGAAAATACATCTTAGTATGACATTTTCCTCTAGCATCACTGCTTAAATCTAGTAATCCCTCCCCTTTCCCCAAACGCACAGGCTGCATATTGTGTGGATAGTGGATACAACAATTTATATTATTAATTGAAGCATGAAGTTAAATAGGTCGAACTCGAGCTCGAACTTGAGCTTGGACGTTCGAGCAATATGATTCAAACTCGAGCTCAATTTGAGCCAATCGAGTTGATCTCCAACTCAAGCTCGAGTCGAGTTCAAGCTCGAGCTCGAACACTTGAGCCAATCGAGCTGATCTAGGAGAGCTCGAGCTATATAAAAATTTGATGAGCTGAGCTCAAGCTTCAATTTTAACGCTCGAGCTCGAGCCATCAGAAAGTATCTCCATATTAAGGTATCAAACTTTACTAATTTGTAGTGTTTCACTGTTTCTATATTCATGTAGATGATTTTACAGCATCTCAATTTATAGGTTTGATTTTATTTTCCCTCATTTCAGCGTTCAAGTCTCTAAATGGTGCCCATGGAAATTGTTTGTTGAGATTTGAAATCTGAGGGTCAAATTAGAATAATTGAATAAGCTGAGAAATATCCTAGAGGTTGGAGTGTATTTACGCCTCCCGAGTACTTCAACATCCATTTTGGTGGGTGAGGTTTTTTGGTGAAATTTATGTTTGCAGAATACAAAAAGACATACAATATTCATACAAAAATCTATATGTATACAATTAGGATTTAACCTCCAGCCATAATTGTGTGCTTAGAATTGTTAATTGTATGATCTAACTTCCAGCTGTAGTTGTGTCTTAGTATTGCCTTTGGATTACGGCAGAGTTTGCTGTTGTAGACCGTAGTTGCCTGAATTGATGCCAAAATCAATGTAGAGCTTTAGAGAATAATGTATCTCCCACTCAATCTCCGGTTCAGTATAAACGGTGTATTTCAGGTAACCAGAGCAGTGACAGGACGCCAGGACCTACACTTATATAGCCTTACATGCCATCAGTATAGGCTTGTAACAAAAACTGTTATTTTTGTTACAACCTTAATGTCACCACTTAAGAGCCATAACAACTTGCACCACATCCTAGAGGTTGGAGTATACTTACGCCTCCCGAGTACTTTGACATACATTTTGGTGGGTGATGTTTTCTGGTGAAATTTATGTTTGCAAAATACAAAAAACATACAATATTCATACAAAAATCTATATGTATACAATTAGGATTTAACCTTCAGCCATAATTGTGTGCTTAGAATTGCATGATCTAACCTCCAGTCGTAGTTGTGTCTTAGTATTGCCTTTGAATTATGGCAGGGTTTGCTGTTGTAGACCGTAGTTGCCTGAGTTGATGCCAAAATCAATGTAGAGCTTTAGAGAATAATGTGTCTCCCACTCAATCTCTTGTTCAGTATAGATTGTGTATTTCAGATAACCAGAGTAGCTAAGCAGTGGCAGGACCTACACTTATATAGCCTTACATGCCATCAGTATAGGCTTGTAACAAAAACTGTTATTTTTGTTACAACCTTAATGTCACCACTTAAGAGCCATAACAACTTGCACCACATCCTAGAGGTTGGAGTATACTTACGCCTCCCGAGTACTTTGACATACATTTTGGTGGGTGATGTTTTCTGGTGAAATTTATGTTTGCAAAATACAAAAAACATACAATATTCATACAAAAATCTATATGTATACAATTAGGATTTAACCTTCAGCCATAATTGTGTGCTTAGAATTGCATGATCTAACCTCCAGTCGTAGTTGTGTCTTAGTATTGCCTTTGAATTATGGCAGGGTTTGCTGTTGTAGACCGTAGTTGCCTGAGTTGATGCCAAAATCAATGTAGAGCTTTAGAGAATAATGTGTCTCCCACTCAATCTCTTGTTCAGTATAGATTGTGTATTTCAGATAACCAGAGTAGCTAAGCAGTGGCAGGACCTACACTTATATAGCCTTACATGCCATCAGTATAGGCTTGTAACAAAAACTGTTATTTTTGTTACAACCTTAATGTCACCACTTAAGAGCCATAACAACTTGCACCACATCCTAGAGGTTGGAGTATACTTACGCCTCCCGAGTACTTTGACATACATTTTGGTGGGTGATGTTTTCTGGTGAAATTTATGTTTGCAAAATACAAAAAACATACAATATTCATACAAAAATCTATATGTATACAATTAGGATTTAACCTTCAGCCATAATTGTGTGCTTAGAATTGCATGATCTAACCTCCAGTCGTAGTTGTGTCTTAGTATTGCCTTTGAATTATGGCAGGGTTTGCTGTTGTAGACCGTAGTTGCCTGAGTTGATGCCAAAATCAATGTAGAGCTTTAGAGAATAATGTGTCTCCCACTCAATCTCTTGTTCAGTATAGATTGTGTATTTCAGATAACCAGAGTAGCTAAGCAGTGGCAGGACCTACACTTATATAGCCTTACATGCCATCAGTATAGGCTTGTAACAAAAACTGTTATTTTTGTTACAACCTTAATGTCACCACTTAAGAGCCATAACAACTTGCACCACATCCTAGAGGTTGGAGTATACTTACGCCTCCCGAGTACTTTGACATACATTTTGGTGGGTGATGTTTTCTGGTGAAATTTATGTTTGCAAAATACAAAAAACATACAATATTCATACAAAAATCTATATGTATACAATTAGGATTTAACCTTCAGCCATAATTGTGTGCTTAGAATTGCATGATCTAACCTCCAGTCGTAGTTGTGTCTTAGTATTGCCTTTGAATTATGGCAGGGTTTGCTGTTGTAGACCGTAGTTGCCTGAGTTGATGCCAAAATCAATGTAGAGCTTTAGAGAATAATGTGTCTCCCACTCAATCTCTTGTTCAGTATAGATTGTGTATTTCAGATAACCAGAGTAGCTAAGCAGTGGCAGGACCTACACTTATATAGCCTTATATGCCATCAATATAGGCTTTTTAACAAAAACTGTTATTTTCGTTGCAACCTTAATGTCACCACTTAAGATCCATAATAACTTGCACCACAATTATATGCATGTCTTAATGGAAAATGTCACAATTTAGGGCTGTGTATTCCAAACTCTAGCAACACACGTTATAATTACCCAATTATACCTGGTAGGATGTAACTCATCTAAGATATTGTAATTCATTCTAGAAAATAGAAACCTAATCTCTCAATATTTGGGCAAACAGATAGCACTTTTTGGCACCTTGGATTTGAGGTATATAAGAGAGATCTTAAAGGTCCTCTTTTGCATTTTGGACTGTTGGGTATTTAGTAAGTCTTTATCAATTTCAGCTTTTTACTAACAATAAATTCATATAAATTTATTGTACTTCCCATTTCCAATTTCTTGCAAGTGCCAATAATTGTATGTAATTTCCTCTATTTTCAGTTTCTTGCACTAATCATTTCTTGAGAGATTCAAGCTTAAAATGGGAATTAGAGCTTAGGCTATATTATGAGATTTATGAAGAATTTATGAATATTTAATAAGATATTAGGTAACTTCAATAATTGAATTAGAACTATTCTAGTATTTGAATTCTGTATTATTTATTTATTTATTTGGTTGCGAACAGTTTATGCCATCAGTTTCAACACTGGCAGACTGGCTTTCCACTGTTGACTTTGTGTTTTCCAAGCTTTATAGAGTTATAGGCATTTCTGAATGGTGCATTTGCTCTGCTGTCATAATAATTGTTAAACAGATACTTCAATGAAGCAATCCAAGGATCCTTTTGAAGCTGCTTTTGAGGAGCAAGAGGAATCACCCCCTGATTCCCCTATAGTTGCCGAGGAGAATGAAACCCAAAATGAAGCTGCTATTACTGTCAATGACCATGGAACTGATGAATTTGTTTCCATTAATCATCCTGAAAACCCTTCAACATCCGTTGCTGCCACAGTTCCCACTGGGACTGCTGGCAAGCCCAAAGAAGATGATGAAGAGGAAGAGGAAGAGCACATGGAGGTGCAACTAGGAAAGCTTGCATCTAGTTCTGACCCCGATAAGATGGCTAAAATGCAGTAAGTTATGATAACTTGATAGCTTGTATTTTACTTTATCTGTCAAACCATAAGTGCTACTTCCACGCTTGGCAAATTGGACTATCTTAATTTATCCGAAAGGTGCTTCCTGCTAATTTGAGTCTGTTTGGCAGTGAACTTGTTCCACTCAAGCTTTACTAACTCCGTGCTTATGGCAGATATGAAGAATGTGATTTTAGAACACAAAAGGGAAGAAGAAACTCACTCAAAGCGAAATATATATTTATGAAATTGAAATCGGTTACACATCCCAAAAACAAAAAATTAAATAATTTTATTGAGTTGCATGGCACCAAATAGCTCTCTTCTTCTCACTCTAATTATAAATGTATGTATATACAAATGCGTTTGTTGTGCTTGTGCTGTTTTTTAATTTCTAATTGTAATACTTCATTCATTTTTGCATCTTTATTCAGGACCATTTTATCTCAATTTACTGGAGAACAAATGAGTAGGTATGAATCTTTTCGAAGATCTGGATTTCAGAAGTCTAACATGAAGCGGGTATGTTGTGCCCCCTTTTACATATGGCTATTCCTTTTCTTGCTAGTTCATGTATGTTTTCACTAGCTGTGAAATGTTAAAAACGGCATAAAACTAGAATGAATACGTTGGACATACAGACCTGGTATACTTTTTGCTGAGTAATCATAATTTTACTCGTTACATCATAAATTGTGCACCATCTGATATCTATTATACCATTTTTGTTGTGTATGTTGTTTCTGCAGTTATTAGTAAGTATCACAGGAAGTCAGAAAATCTCTGTGCCTATGACGATTGTGATGTCTGGTATTGCAAAAATGTTTGTTGGTGAACTCATTGAAACAGGTATGCAGTCTTCTGTTGCATAGCTTCCCATATATTCATCGCATGCATGTGGCACTCATGTATAAACCCTATATGCAGCTAGAATGGTGATGTCTGAGAGAAATGATAGCGGACCTATTAGACCATGTCACGTTAGAGAAGCATATAGACGACTAAAACTTGAGGGAAAGGTTCCAAGAAGATCTGCCCCACGACTCTTTCGCTAGACAAATATTCAATGGTCCTTGTGCAGGTTTTTGTTATTCTCCTTTGCTTAGCATTTGGTATAGAAAAATGCTTCTTAGTAGAATTGAGATAAATCCTTTTGGAAAACGTTGTTGGGGTACAGTAGTGCTTTTGTATTGCCATTTTATGTGAAAGAGTTTCATGTTGACTTGTTTCTTCTTCCCCACAATGCTTCATACTTAATGCTTTAAATTGGTTGCACTGCAATGCCTTAAATTAATTTCTTTCCCTCTCTGATTTCCTTTCTTCCATGCCCTGTATATGGTAAGTAGTTCAGATGAAGGCTTTATTTTTTTTTTTAAAGGAACAATGCTATAAACTCCTCCTGATGTGACATCATCTTATTGATAGTTAAATTTATTTTTTAATTTGTGGTGGGGTAAGTTAATTCATTGGCACCCAATGAATGCACGTCACATCATGGGGGAAAATCTAGAGGGGAAAAGAGCATTTTCCTTTTAAAAAAATTAGTTTCAATCCATGCCATAAGACGAAGAATGAAAAACTCTTGACCCAAGTAATTTCATGGTAGTAACGAGGAGATAAGTTGATAGATGAAAGTTAACGGGTTTGGTAGAATTGTACAGGAGAGAAATAAAATAGGAATTCAATTCCACTATTTTGTCTTGACAACTCTAATTCTTTTCCTAACATTCATGGAATTGAAAATTCTAGAGGGTTTGGAATTCCAATTATGGCCCTAAAATTTCATATTAGAAGAAAGGAATTGCAAATTTGCAATTCTCTGCACTTCCACCAAAAGCCCATTAAAAATAGTAACAAGGAGGGAAGCCATAGAGATGAAAATTAAGCAAAGGAAGTAACAATCTATGTGGAATTTGATACTTGGCCTTAAATTCGAATTAAATTGCACCATGGATTGGAAAAAGGGATGAGCAGGGAGATCAAATTGGTAATTTGATTCAGGAAAAGTTGTTAGGTATATGAAGATGTATAATTAGTTCAACTTGTATGATTGGAACTCGTGTGCATGGTTTTGGGGATCTATAGAAGAAGGGGAGAGAGTTACGGCGTGAATTGAGCTAAGGAGGGAAATTAAGGGGTTGGGAGCTCAAAGACTTAAGAAATGGTGTAAAGTGAAAAGGGAAAAGTTTGGGGCTAAAGGGTGGCGATCCCATGGCGTAAAGACTAGGAAGATGGGTTAGATAGTTGTTTGGCAAATAATGAAAAAAAGAGGGTGTAAGGGGGAAGAAAGGAGGGGCGAACAGTAGGGACACCTTTTTGCCCCTCTCTTGACGGTAGAGATGCCAGTCAGCACCCTCGCGCTTGGCTAAGAGTGTGATGGGGGATGGCAAAGTGTGGCCAGTTGGTGTAGTTGGCTGTCAGTTATTACCAACAGACAATTAGGCTCAAGGGGTATGTGAATAGAGAGGTGGGTGATTGGATGTCACGGGATGCATGTGTGGTCTGAAATTCCTAGAGATTGTTGTTCACTCATCTCTCACTATTTTCAACTCCAAAAATACTACTGTATAAATTAACGGTTTTCCCCTTCAAACATTATTATCACTTAGCGGAGACTTGACTTCCTTAGTTCATTGTCTACTTTTTATGAAGCAACTTGCCTAATTCGTCTAAAATTGTAATAAACCCTTTATTGGGCCTTGACTAGTATCTTAAGCTTTTTCATTGTGCATACTTTTCAATATTTTTCATTACAGACTGAAATAGGACTTGCGACCTATCATCGTATTTGTTTAATTTTATCCAAACAAATTGACAACCCAATTTCATAATGAATCTAGTCAAATAAACCATCATCCAAGAAAAAGTTAAAATATTACTAGTTGATACATGCTTTCTCTTCTCCATTTTAAATGACATAGTAATATATATTATTCATGGACCAAACAAATTTATTTTACAAAATTAGTACATGGCATAGTAGTATATATTATTCATGGAATCATGGACCTAACAAATTTAATTTACAAAATTATTACAGGAATAAAGTTGGGAATATGTATAAAACAAACAATAATATGGAGAGTGAGATGACCAAAGTCACCAAACAAATTTCTTTTTCGACGTTTGATCTGTATTACAGGAATGTAGCAGCTGGGATTTGAACCCACGCCCTTTCGGGACCAGAACCTTAATCTGGCACCTTAGACCAATTCGGCCATCTCAACCTATTGACACTAAAATTAGAACTATTTTATAGATACGATAGTTTATTCGCCAAATCACACCCCACTCTCAAACGAAAGCCTTGAGTGGCATATCTACAAATCTAATAAAAGCGAATAATGTTAGGCCCTTAACTGGAACAAAAAAAATATCGGTACTAATTGTTTCTTAAAATGAATGGTTCATATTATTTTGATTTTAGTATCTTTTAATGATTTTCCTTATTTACCCTCTATTATATTATTTTCTTCCTTTAAATAACCCTAAATTCCGTTAGTTTAAACTTTAGTAACGGAATATTTCGTTAACTATTTATTATTCTTAACATACTCTTAATTTATATAAGGTCTTAGGTTCGAACCTCATCCCAAGTATAGCATAATTGTGAAACATATATTATGAATATGTTAAAATGTATTAATATATATATATATATATATATATATATATATATATAATATAAAATTTAACATAAACTTTTGTCAAATAATTAGCTCGACTAAATACATAGCATTCAAAGTTGAGCATCAAAGATTATAAATCATGAACTACTTTAAAATCATTTGATTTTCTTGAATTTTTTATTTAAAAAAAAAAACAAATTTAGGTTAAGTTTTTTTTTTTTTTTTTTTGTTTAATTAATCTTCTTCTAATTATTTAGAACAAAACTTAATATTTCAATTATGCTTTTGTATTATTGGAATGATGTATGCCATTATGGTATTAATATTTTTTGTATTTTTTTTTATTTTATTTTTTTTATTATAAGGAAGGGGATACCCTACATATACACACTATTGCCTCAACTAAGATTCGAACCTTACACATCCCACTTAAGGGAGCAACTCGATACCAATGGACTACAAGCCACTTGGTTTTGTATTTTTTTTATAATAGTACAATTGTACATTACTTTATAAATATTATACTATTATTTTTTTTATCAGACAAAATTGTTCTTACATCATTGTGAGACCTGTGCGGCCTAACTACAAAGTTGTTGTTCATAAATACAATTACACATGGACTCTAAAACGGTAGGATCATTTTTCAAATAATTGACAATGTTAACATCCTACTAGCTCCAATTGAACAAGTTTACATATCAAAATTTTATCAATGCATGAAAACTTCTAAAGAAATTTGTAAGTTAATTTTTACTATATCTTTATATTAATATCTATTGTAACCATATATTTCGAATTATTTATTATCATCCTCTATTGACAGCAATTGTCATAGACAAACTCTCAAAACAATTTGTCTCAACAAGAAATGGAAATTTAAAAAAAAATCATTGATTTCATTATTGTTGAAGAAAAGTATGTATGAAACTTTATTACTCTTATTAATTAAATAAATTAATAGCTACAACAAAAAATAATACATATGCATTTAATTACTTTAGAATTAGATGTCTATAATGCTTTATTTAAAAAAAAAAAAAAAGTTAATGAACAATCTGGTCCCTCAATTATTAGTGAACTGTCAATGTAGCCCTTTAATTATATTGCTTATTCATAGATTTGGTCCCCGAAAATAATTATTTTTAGTCGATTTAGTCCCTCAGGCTGTCTTCCGTCGATGGACGGAGGACTAAATCTACTAAAAATAATTATTTTCGGGGACCAAATTGATGGCCGGAGGGACTAAATCGACTAAAAACAATTGTTTTCAGGAACTAAATTGATAATAAACGATTAAGGGACTACATTGACAGTTCGCTAATAATTGAGGGACCAAATCGTTGATTAAATCTAAAAAAAAATTATTCATTATAAAAAAAAATTAAAAGAAATATAATGTCATTAGTTATGTTATCTTTATTTTCTACAATTCAAAGATTCCTTACCTTCAAATTTATTAATTTATTATATTCACTACATTGTGCATTGTCTTCTTTTTTTACATTATCTTGTAATTAAATATTAAAGTTATAATACAAAACATGTTATATATATATATATATATATATATATATATATATATATATATATATATATATATTTACCAAGTATTTTATACAAATATAATAAATATTAATATTTTGTTCAATACTTTCACATGATAACCTACGACACACATCTCACAACACATGAAACATGTAGGAAAAAAACTACCACTACTAAATATCAATAGGTGTTTGTACGCTAAAAAGTTCATATTACAACTAAAATCTCAGTCATATACACAGCAAGGCAAATCTAAAACTTCCTACACCATAATCTCATTGCATGATGAATCCCTTTATGCTGCTACCAGTAACCTAATTGCACATGACACATTACCAATAAAATAAAAAGGACATGTACTGATGAAGATGAAAACAATAACAATGCTACCCAAAAGAGAATTAAGAAGAATTAGAGAAATTTAAACCAAAATTAGTATTTATTTAGACTATCGCTTTAAGACTAAGTATTTAGACTAATGTTATTACAAAGTGCAAATATTTATTTTAGTGACAATTATAATCAATCTCTCATATATTATCTTGCATTTATATACTTTAATTTACCGATTTGAATAAACAAATTCAACATTTATTTACCTATGCATGAACATCTCCTATATAATATTGCATTGATATAATTTGAAATACTTATTTAAAAATAATTATTGGGCATTATCCCATTCACGCAAAGCGCGTAAAAAAACTAGTATATATATATAGGAAAAACAATACTTTTTGTCCCTAAAAGGCATCTTACTCTATATAATAGCAAAATGTTTTTGCCATGTCATTTTCCCGCCTAAATGAAATGGCATCATTCCATGGTACAACCTTAATTGCTAGATTAATTGTAGATTAATTGTGGATGGTTGAATTATCAATCACAATGAGTTTTAAATGTCTTAAGAAAAAATAAAGAATCATTTATTTATTGTATATAGTTTAATTTATTAATTTTAAATTATGTTTATATATATATATATATATATATATATATATATATATATATATAATACTAAATTGGTTGTTATATTAAAACATCACAACATACTATTAGTATATATTATAAAGCATTGTGTTATTAGATATCACATGATATTTTAAAATTTTACATTTAAATAAAATTTAGTATTATATATATATATATATATATATATATATATATATATATATATATATATATATATATATATATATAAAGAGTAACATTTCATAATTAATTTTAATGATTGATGTTGAATTTTATCAACAATAAAAATACTTAATTTTATATCGTGCATCGCACGGGACAAATACTAGTATATATATATATAGGAAAAACAATACTTTTTGTCCCTAAATTTATTTTGCTTTTGTAAATTTGGTCCATATCAATTGATTTGAATAAACTTAGTCCTTCAATTGTTTATTATGTCACATTTAGTCCTTGAAGTTATATAATTGTAAATTTTATTAATAAGCCTTATATTTTTCAATTATTCTCCACCGTTAAAATTTTATTCTCTCCCTTAACGTCATCTTCAATGCATACATTCATCATTAATAAATTTTCTATTTTCTTCATAAATAAATTTCTCTCGGACAATCAACGATATAGAGATACGAGAACTAATGTTAGTGACAAATAAGTAACCACAAATGTAAACAATACTGCACCTCAAAATCAAAGAAAGTATCATCTTCTTTGTGATAAATATGCGTGTAGGGAACTGCATCTTTGAATTCTCTCACAACTGTGTTAGAATAGAACTTCAAACATATACTTGTGACTCGTTGTTTTGTATCTATACAAATTAGTAATTACCAAAAAATTCTTTATACAAAAAACTCGGTCTTCTTTAAATCTCTTCGAATACTTCTGAACATAATCTTTAGGAATATGTGCATGAAGAAAAGTTCCTTGAAATTGAAGTGTTACGAAAAAAATATAGTAAAAAATAATATGCATAAACAAATCCTTTTGAATTAAAAAATATTCAAACGATAGTACAAATACAATACCTATTCATTATGGAATACACAATCTATAGACTTCACTGTTTCAGCACCTCTTCTCTATGGAATCTCACAAGTGCGCACCACTCTAACCTTTATTGTATTCCTTATGTATGTTCTTAGGAGAAATTTCGCATCCAACAATGTCGACTGAAGTTGAAGTCATGCACTAGGGTGTGTTGCATTTCTCAGCACCACTCAGTTTATAAAACACACCACACCCTGGTGCATTTCTAAGCACGTGATGGTGCATTTGTGCATACATAGTGGTGCAAAATCGTACGATCGCAAGGAAAGCAGTATTAAAGACAAGGTCATGGGTTCGAATTGGTGGCAAGGCGGTAGCTGAGTTTAGTCATGTATGGGATGTGGGTGCAGGTCGGGCCAAGTCTAGTCCCGGGAGGAGGATTAGTGGGCTCGGAGGTTATGGATCGAGTCACGCATGTTGTTGGGCTTTGTGATCAAAGGTTGAGGCAAGTGCTAGGAGGTGGATTCTTGGGTGTTGGCTGAGTTCAGCCCTTGCTCGATTAGAGACGTAACACTATGGCTTACCGTGGAGGGATATGGTTAAATGATTAATGTTCACCTACTTATCATCAATTGATTTTAAGTACGATATGACAACCGAATAGTCAAAGAACTATATAGTTAAACGTGTTTGACTTATAACAGTCACATGATGGGTGGTCTGCTAGGAAATAAGCATCGGTGTTCATCAATAGTTAAATATTTTAGTAAAATAAAAAAATAAGATCAATTTTATAATTACTAAAAACTTTCAAATATATAATATTTATAAAATTGACCTACCACCCGTTTTTCCTTATTTTTTTTAGCAACCTCAACTGTGTATTAATCATATTAATTGTCACTTTTTGCTTTTTTTTTTTAGCAACCTCAACTGTGTATTAATCATATTAATTGTCACTTTTTGCCTATGAGCCTAGTACCTTTTCACCATCCATGTAATACAAAAAGGATTAATTTCATATTTGGTTCTATATTTTCGTAATTTTGTTACATCTAGTCCTTAACCTTAAAAATAGAGAGTTATAGCCTAACATTATTTAGTCTTAGACACTTTATTTTTGAATATATGAGAGAAAGATTAATTTCACGTTTGGTTTGTCTTTTCGGTAATCTTGTCACTTCTAGTCCTCAACCTATTTTTGACGATTTGTCACTTTTAGTCCTAAATCTAAAAATAGACCGTTGTATTATGACATTATTTAATCTTGAACACACTATTTTTGAATATATGTGAGAAGGCAAATGTGAAATTCCTCACTCAAATCAGAGAAATGTCAAAGTTTTGCACAGAGGATCATAATTGTTTAAAATTGAATAACGTGAAACTACAAGTGTTCATTTTTATAGTCAAGAACGAAAAAGTGACAAAATTACAATTTTTTAGTCAAGAACTAAAAGTGACAAAACTACATTTTTATAGTCAACAACTCAAAGTAACAAAACCACCCAATAAGTGGGACCGAGTCCTATTCAAAAATGTAATATCCAATCCAATCCAATCCGAGGAGAAGCAGCCATTTTATGGAAAAACGTTGTATTCATCAAATTCCCTTTGTTCTAAGAACAGAATGATCCGAAACATAGAGAAGACAATTTCAAGAAATGAACAAATATTACACCCAGATTTCAAGACATCAGACACACATTAAAGCATTTTCCTTTCATCCATCAAGAATATCCAACAAGAAATTGAGACACACAATGTCTAGATTCTACACACAGATGACACAACAGATATCCAAATTGCATACCAATTCCCAGATGCAACTTTTCCAAATTGTATACAAACCATCAAATCTAGGGAACTAAGCAAGAACAAACAAGGATTATATCATTGTACCAAGATGCCTGCTAAATTTGGAAGCTCATCATCTCGTCTCTGCAAACCAAAATGAATGATCTTCTTAGCTAACATTTCTTCAGATGCTAACTTATTAAAATCTCCATATCTATTACAGTAGAGGTCAACTAATCATCAAATCTGCAACACTGGTTGCAACTTGCAAGCAACAAAAGAACAGCATACCTCGAACAAACCTATCTCGGAAGCTGGTGCACAGATAACAGTACAGTACTCGATTTCAGATCATCAGCATGTAGCTGGAAGCACAAACATTAGAAGAGCAGTAAACCAATACAAAAGATCACTGATCTTCCAATATCTAGTGCTTCAACAAGGCTCATTGGTCCATTTAGTATATTTGCAGAGGACTTTCAAGACAATAGACTAAAGAGTTAGCTTTCTTATGCATAGAAGCATCACTGTGTTTCTGTCATGAAACTGGAAGTTTCTCATTTTGGGTGATTATATAATCACCCAAAATGAGATTTTGTCCAGAATGAAGCAATTCATTACAGGAAAACAGAAGCTAGTAGGTATACTAACCAATTCTTTTTATAGTACAGACTACACATTGATATACACAGCATATAGCAGGAAAATGCTAAATTCAACAAATTGCAAGAAGAAAGTACTCTTACCATTCAACAAGATGGAACTTTTGTTCATCACACATTAAAATAATTCTTTCTTGGAATTGTCATAATAAAGCACTGTAATGTGTTAACTATCCAAGAAGAGAACATACTGCACCAAATGTTGAAGAAAAAGATAACATCTTTGTATGCATGCAAGGAAACCTGGAAGGAGTAAGGCAAAAGAAGGAATTGAAACTTTAAAGAGTTTTGAAACTGTAATGTTAATTTTGATTCTGATAGAAAAATTTGAGGCAAATTCCTCAAGTAATCAGAAATGTGAGTTGACACAAAGGCTCCTAATAAAGAAAGAAAGACAATTTGAATCCTTGACTAATGACTACTACTTATTGGCAACAGTGATCCCCAGCTTCCCAGCCACAATCAAAGTGGTGGCCATATCAAGAAACATCCCATGCTCAACCACACCTGCAAGCCTCAAAATTGCATCACTTGCAGCCTTAAGGTCACCCATATCTTTCTTGAAATACAAATCAATAATGTAATTCCCATTGTCAGTAACAAAGGGGTGAGTGGTATCCCTGGGGCCTGTCCTGAGCTTCCCCACACACCCGGCTTCCATAAACAACATCTCAAGCCTCTTCAAGGTGAATTCCCAGCAGAATGGGACTATTTCAACAGGCATGGCCAGGCCACTCCCTCCCAAATGCCCCACCAGCTTTGACTCGTCCACAATCACGATAAACTTCTTGGACGCGGCCTCCACCATCTTCTCCCGGAGCAAAGACCCGCCACGGCCCTTAACCAGGTTCATGTACGGGTCCACTTCATCCGCCCCGTCAATCGCCAGATCCACAATCGGGTGGGCATTCAAATCCGACAAGGGAATCCCCAAGGAAACGGCTTGCTCGTGGGTCATCTTGGAAGTTGGTATCCCCACAATATTCTTCAGCTTCCCTTGCCGCAGCAGCTCCCCAATGCGGTCCACCGCGTGCTTGGCGGTGGAGCCGGTGCCCAGACCCACCACCATGCCGGACTCCACATACTCCACGGCCTTGTAAGCGGCAAGTTTCTTCAGCTCATCTTGAGTGAGAATAACAGGAGAGCAAGAAGAAGAAGACGGGAGAGGCTCCTTGTTCTCCAGCTTTTCCGAACCCAAAACCTGCCGGTACGCGATTGCCATTTCTAAATAAAAAATTAAAAAAAGAATAGCTTTAAACGAAAGAAAAGAATGGGGTTTTCAGGATAAAGTTTGTTTTATTGCAAGGGGCTAGGGCTAGAAAGGAAAGATTATAGTATTATAGGGTATGGAGATGAAAAGCGAGATGAACCCAGATATGAAGAAAGGGGTATAAATAGGAAATGAAATGGGGAAATTGAAGAACAATAAGAAACACAAGGGAGGGAAAGTGAGCAAGGATATTTGGGGTTATGCGTATCTTCGATTTTTGTGGTTGAGACTTGAGATAAGGCGAGCAGAGGGAGGGTGGGTCAGAAAGAAAAAAGAAAAAGAAATAATATTGTTCAAGACAATTGTGTATTTCAAGGTTTGATTTTGTTTGGCATTATGTAGTGGAGGATTGGGGCGGCGGTGATGGATGAAAGAGGGAGGAGGAGAAGGCGGAGGCGTGTTTTATTAGGGCTGGAGCCTGGAAGTGGAAGCCGAAGGAAAACAGAACGCAAAATGTATGGATATCAGTGCTTGCTTTAGCATGCAAAGGAAAGCTGCCCAGGGCTTTGGTAGTATTTTAGCCTCATTTTCCCCATCAAACCAAAGGCTATCACTTTTTGCCTAGGTTTCACTTTATAGGTAAATAATTTGTGATTCCTATAGCATACACCAAGGTTTATCTGGTCAACTCTAGTCTAAAAATTATGTATTTAGTTAATAAATTATATGTTTATAAATAAATTGATGGCACGTTAATGATTTATTTAAATAACGCGTGTATGATATTTTAGAAAGAACAAAAAGGGATTTTGAGAGAATAAGTATTGTATTGTTGAATATTGATTTTTCATTTTTCATATGTACAAGTGTCTATTTATACACATTTATGAATAGAAATTCTAGACGGTCTAATATTAAGAGTCCTTGTTACATGAGGAATAATAAGTTCAATCCTTATTAAACTCTTAAGTTGCTCCATACTCGGTATTCTTTTTGGGCCTTCTTGATCTAGTTACTTTTTTTGGTTGGTCCATTTAGTCGGCCTAGTATACCATCCATCATCCAGTCCCCCACTTTCTTGAGATTTCGCGAAGTCAATGTCTTATGAAAGTAGATTAGTCCGTAGATTCATTAAAGACAGAAAAATATATGAGATTATATTTTGTAAACATCATAGTCATGGTGTGTAAATTCATGAGGAAAAGTTAATTGGAGGACTCAAGGATTTTTTTATTTTTGGCAAGCCGATTGGCTAACCGGTCAGCCGGACCGACCGACTAGACTATCTGGCCAGCTGGTCACTCGACTGCCCAGTTGGCTTGCCAAGTTGACTGGTTGGTTGATTGACTGATTGGTTGACTGACCAACCAGTTTGACTCCCTCGTTTATTTTCTTCTTTTTTTTTTTTAATTCTTTTCTCTTTTTTTTTTTCTTTTTTTTAATTCTTTTTTTTTTGTTTATTATTGCTTTAATGTTTTCGCATCGGCCCCTTTTTCCTCCATGTATTCCTATTGCCCAGTTCATTTCTCCTACCTGATCAGTTCACCTGGTTGATTGCCCAACCTACATGACCAGTCCAAGTGATCGGTCACCTAATCTACTTGACCAATTCATCTGACCAGTCACCCATCCTGCATGACCAGTCCACCTAACTGGTCACTTAGCCTGCATGACTAGTCCACCTAATTGGTCGCTCATCTTGCGTTAAGAGAAACTTTTTAATGTTCTCAAATTTGGTTAGGGATATCATAGTCTTCAATGATCATATAGTTTGAATTATTTAAAAAATCACTAAACTTATCACGTGAGATTGCAAATATGCATGAATTGCAATTCTTCAAAGTGTAATCTCTAATTAAAAACTTATAAAATTTATTGTATCTTTGCTTACCTAAAAAATGTATTAAATGTCATGTAGTCATGACTATATTGATTTTTAAGTTGATCAAGATCATATCAATATTTTTGCATCAAATGTAACTCTGTCATTGAATTGGAGAACATTTTTCACAATAAGTCTCTGATGCAGAGACCCAATATGTTACTACAAGACATTAAAATAGTCTTATCCGTACTTGTACAATATTGAGAAATGTTGAGAACTTTCAGCGGTCATGCGTACTTGTACAATGTTGAGAACCTTCTGCGGTCGACTCCTCTTTCTTTACTGAAGCATAAAGAGTCCATTTTTTTTTCTTTACTGCATAAAGAGTCAATACCACTTCCACTGAAACTCGAACTCACAACCTCCTATATGGGAGAACAACTTGGTGCCACTAGACCATCCTTAGCAAAATGATTGGTTTTAAAATTGAAAATTGAAAATAGAAAAATCACTATATTTTAAAAGATAAAAAATGAAATTAAATGTTGATTCACGAGCACGTACTTAACGTCTTAACTTATCTCATGGGCATTTGGTAAAGATTCGCTAGCAATTTTGGTTCACACTTTTTAATGTGTTCCCTCGAATGTCTTAATTTATCCTATTACTCTGTTAGCAAATTTTGATTTATTCCATTACTCTATCTGCAAGTTTATAATTCTTGAGTTATTCATCGTGTAACATAATTCATTGGATATTATAATTTTATGAGATTCTGGTCCATCATAAACTATGTACATAAATATACGAAATGGGCTAGAAAAATATTCAGTTGTTATATCGTAGATCGCAGTGCACATGCACCGCAGTAAAAAACGGTGCCGTTTCTTTAAGTAAAGAAATGGTCCGCCGTTACAGTTAATGGAGTCTGTATATTTGGTGTATTAAACACCAACTGACACTACAGTATTGACGGTAATAACGTTACCGGTAATAATATAATAATACTATAAGAGAGTAACAATAGTTGTATTGCCTTTTGTCTCAGTATAGAAAGTACAGTGTGTCCATTGCTATCTGAGGGGAGCCCCATTTATACTTAGAGTCCTAACGGTAACAACATGGGATATAAATGGGGAGCCTAACCTTTAACTCTCTCTCATCAATGGGGACTTCAATGATGGCTTCAATGGTAGTAAAGTGGCACCTGTTGGAATTCCTGACCGTTGGAGTTCTGCCCGTTGGGTTCCCATGTGATGCTGAGTCAATGCCCATTTGTGATCCGGGTCGGGTGCCAGCCCTATTATCCTGTCACCAGTCCCCCCTACTCATGAGTCAACGGATGTGTTTGAGTTGACTTGGGAGTAAAGCTAAATCTATTTTGATCTTGTGTATAATTCTCTTGATTTAGGATATTTTATTTGATCCTGTGTAGAATTCTGCTTAATTTAGGATATTTGGTTTTGTTTTACAAATCCCTAACTTGCCTTCCAAATCCCTGATTTGTGTTTTCCCAATCCTTTCCTGCTTCACTTAACTTTTTTATCTCAAGCTCCTCTCCAATATAAACCCCTGTCTCTCTGAGCAATTTGAGAGCACTTCTTCAACAACTTTCTGCCACAGTTCTGTAAGTCTCCGCTGTCATTATTATTTTGCAATTTATTTTACAACGTATTTAAGTATGTATGAATATACTTGCTCCCCCCACTTTTTTTTTTTTTTTTTTGATCGGGGCCGAGGTACGTCCATGATGCTTGGGGAGAACGGTGCTGCCATTCGTACCTCGGGTTCCGGCGACTGCTCCCGTGCCTCGACCCTTCTTGCTAACTCCTCGATCTTTCTCTGCAGCCTTTCGACCAGGGCTAATTCGTCAGGGTGCCGGAGCGGGGCCGACTGCCGCTCCTCCATGTGTGGGGCTAGTTCGTGTCGTCCATCTGAGTGTCGACGTGGAGCTGGTTCCTCGACGTTTCGTCCATCCAAGTGTCGATGTGGAACCCGCTCACCAACGCGCCGTTCGCCCGCTAAGTGCCGACGCGGAGCCGGCTCATCGACACGTCGCTCCGCCGAGTGCCGACGCGGGGCCGGTTCATCGAAGCGTCGCTCTTCCGAGTGTCGACGCGGGGCAGACTCATCACCGTGGCGGCGCGGGGCCGGCCCACGAGACTCGCCCATCCTTTCTATGGGCGATCTCTCTCCGCTTCTCTTTCCTCGTGTCGGCGAGGGCCTCTAGCGGAGGACCCCTCGGCACGCGACTCCGGCCCCTGCCGAGCGGGCGCCCCGTGTCCCAACCGTTCTAAGGCAGGGCGGGAGGGCCTAGGTTGTCGTCCGGCCGGTCCGCTTCTCTGGGTGCCCTCTCCCGGACCCCCGGTCCTAGTGCGTCGCCCTGCGACCCTCGGGGCACGAGTTGCGTCCTGGGCATCCACCCTTCGTGGAGATTCTATTTCTATTTCCTGAGGCCGCAGCGGGGGCACTTGGCCTTGTAGTCCCACCGCCACTTGGTTTAGTGCCGCTGCCACCGCTTGCTGGATGGTCGCGTGGAGGTTCACGACTTGGTTCGCCCCTCCATTGTGGAGCTGGTCTCGGAGGTCCCCTCCATTGTTGAGTTGGTCTCGGAGGTTTCCTCCATTGTTGAGTTGGTCTCGAAGGTCCCCGGGCCTCCCGTTGTTGAGCTGTTCTCGGAGGTCCCCTCCGCGATTGTTGGTGAGTTGGTCCCGGAGGTCACCTGAGGCATTGCCATTGTTCACGTTGCGGGAACCGTGGGAGCTGCGGGACACCATTCTTTCAAGCTTGCTGTTGAAGAAGGAATGAGTTGTGTGTGTCGTAGCCTGCTTGAGTATTGGACTCAGACTCTCAATGAAAGCACCAATGACGGTAAATATGTTACCGGAAATATATTATAAAGTAACGAATAAGAAAGTGACAATAGTTGTATTGCCTCAGTTTCAGTATGGAAAGTACAGTGTCCTCTCCCTTGCTAGCTGAGGGGAGTTCTATTTATGCTAAGTCCTAACGGTAACAACATGAAGAGTCATAATTGGGGAGCTGAGGCTAACGGCAATAGCATGAAGAATCATGAATGAGGCGCTCAACTTTAATTCTCTCCCTTCAATGCAATGAATGGCCATAATGTTTCCACCCGTTGGAGTTCTGCCTGTTGGAATTTCACACGATGTCAGGTTAAATATGGTGTCGGGTCAGGTGCTGCTTATGATCCGGGTCGGGTGCCAGCACCATTATCCTATCACCAGTCCCCCCTACTCCTGAGTCTACGGATGTGTTTGAGTTGACTTGGGAGTAAGACTGAATTTGCTAGATATCGTGCAGAATCCCGGTTGATCCCGAGTATGTGATTTTATTTTCCAAATCACACATGAAATTTTTTTTTTATGCTGGCTGAGACGAGCTGCGGCTTAGGCTGGCCGAGGTGCGTGCCTCCGGTCGATCACGGCCGAGGCGTCGCCTCGACCGATCGTGGCCGAGGCATGCACCCCGGCCGATCGTTCGTGGTCGAGGCGTCGCCTCGACCGCTCGTGGCCGAGGCGTGCGGCTCGGTCGACCGTGGCCGAGGCGTGCGGCTCGGTCGACTGTGGCCGAGGCATCGCCTTGGCCGATCGTGGTTGAGGCGTCGCCTCGACCGACCGTGGCCGAGGCATGCGCCTTGGCCGATCTTGGTCGAAGCGTCGCCTCGACTGATCGTGGCCGAGGCGAGCTCTGGATTTTTTTTTTTTTTTTTT